GGATTTAAAATAAATTTTAATAAATTTGTGTTAAAAGTAGAGTAAGAAAAAAATGATTTTATTGTAAAAAAGCGTGGGGTGCATGGTATCAGTAGTTATAAATATTTTATATAAACTTAATTTTCTATTTTATAGTTGAATTTTCTACAAAAGCATATTTTGTTAGTTTTTTAAAGTATTATTTATTTTTAATTTTTTAGTAAACATTTAATTTTTTTTTTTTTTTTTAATATTTAATTGTCACCGATCCTTAATAAGTATACCGAATTTCGACTTAATCCGACATTTTGAAGGGGGTCAAAATCATGTTCAAAGATTCCGTTACAAACATACATACGTTTGAAGCTAATAAAAGCGTATTAATAAATTTTATTTGTAGGTGGATGAAAGAGAACCGGCTGAAGCCGAAGTCAAAGCGGTGATGCAAGTGTGCAGCGGTTGTACACCCGAACCGTTCAAAAAGGCTCTAGTTTTATCATGGCGGACGACATCCAAAAAACTATACAGCGGCGCACATTACTATAAAGGTCTTCCCATCTGTCGAGCTTTCTAAGAACATTAAAATGGAGTATTGTTAGATGAAAACTATTTGTTAGATGAGCTCAAAGATGAATAGTAATTTGATATAGCAAGTTAGTAAGAATAGACAACAATGAGTGTAGTTGTTTACCTTAGTCTCTTAATGAACGGTTGAATGATATCAAGTTATAAGGCGTCTCGATAAATCAGATATAAATTCAAGGCTGTTTTCTTTATTCAAAGTTTTCCAATACTTGTTTAATGCGGGATAATTTAATCTCCAACATCAAAATTTGCAACTTAATTTAAAACTGTCCTATATTACATTAAATTCAGACCTTAAATGCATAATATCCAATTAAATTATGTAACTTGTAAAAAGTCAGAAGACACGAATCTTTCATTATATTCATGTTACTGCATGTTACTACATATTTAGCGTAAATACGATCAGTTCTATCGAGTTCGTTAAGGCAATAATTTATATTATCATTTTAAAATTTAGTTCGTCTTTCATTGGAAATAGCTTGCCATGATGAGTTGATTTATTTATTGTAGTCATAAGTTCGAGTCTTATAATTTACTTTTATACTAACGATATTTAGTTTAGTAGGTATGTGCCTTTTTAGAAATGTTTTTATATTATTACCTAGGTCTAAATTAATCGATTTAAATATATTGTTTTGCACGTCTCTTAGTATTGAGAGCTAGATGCTTCATTTTTTTCTATTTTAGATTTAAGATTCCGCTTACCTATTTGTTACCATTTTATAAAATAAAGATTTCAAAATATCGTTTCGTTTCAATATTTCTTGTTGCATCGTTTCCTATACGATTATATATTATTTCATCTTAGTCAAAAACTTGTGGACTGGCTGATCCTTCGGCTGGTCGTAGGACCGTCGAGGCGATTCGCCCGGTCCTTGTGGATTGGGTGAATCGTGACAGAGGACGCCTCACTTTCCGGCTCACGCAGGTGCTCACTGGGCATGGTGCTTCGGTGAGTTCCTGCACCGGATCAGAGCCGAGCCGACGGCAGAGTGCCACCATTGTGATTGCGACTTGGACACGGCAGAGCATACGCTCGTCGCCTGCCTCGCAATAGTACAACAGGATGTAAATATATGGAAAAAATAGGAATATACTAGTAGGTAATACAAAAATAAATTGAAATATATTTCACTGCTAAAGCGTTTGACCGTTGTATTTAATATGCAAGTGAATGTGCAGTGAATAATGCAAATAAGCCCTGGAGCACCGCTTTGGTGATAGTACTGTTACGCATTTTTATTTAATCTGTACATATTAACAGATATAGGTGATGACGTAAAGTGATTTTTGAATTACGCAATATACTTTAGTTACATTTTTGATGTATAAAGTATAACTGTTTAACATTATACTTTCTTTGGTTGTATTCTATAACAAACATTAAAATTGCAACGAAGCATCCATGCCCACTAGTTTGATAGATGGGATAGGCGTTTCAAAATTGAGCTTTCGCCTTCATGTCTTAAGGTGGGCGTTGGCAAATATATTGCGACACCAATCATCACTTCATGACCTATGCGAGGGTAGTGTTCGCTCATGCGGCCCGCATGCACATAAACTCTCTCCAGGTCATCGAATCCGTTTCAGCAGGATGGCCGTCGGAGCACTGTGATACGCGGGGAATGTCGACCTTCACGATGACATAAATTTAGAACCTATACCTATCTTAATGAATCGTCAAAGCGCGTCTTCGACAAAGTGGAGTAACGCGATATCCCTCTTATTGTTATCGCTGCTAATTACATATTGGATTGCTCGAAACTTGTCTTTTCGGATCCCTTTGGATCCACTCTCGGTGCTTTCAGGCTCTTCAAGCACCGCGCACCGTTCTAGTCGAACTCTTCGGATACAAAAACGGTTCGAAGTACAACCCAAGTCATAGGCAAAATGCACTGAGTTTCTCAACGGAACTTCTCAGCGGGTTCGATCTCATTTCGGTGGTAGATTTACTGAAGCACTCTTGCTAGGGCAAGTGTTAGCAATTCGCTCAGGTTGAGCCTGTGAGCTCACTTAACGGTTGATAGTCCTTTAGGCTACCAACAATTAGGTAAGAATAAAAAAAGAAATGGCAACTAGTACTAGCATTAGGTGGCAACACGATAAGGCATTCTCTACTGGTTAACTATTGACTCGTAATCTGGAAATTTATAAGGTAATACGGTCTAAAAATTTGATAAGGACAAAATAGAAAATACTAATAATAATTTAAATGACCACCGTGATTTAGCAAGCATCTGTTGAATTCAAAATTATTTTCTTATCTAGTGTAGAACAGTCCTAATACTATTTATTATGTTTAAATGTCAAATAGCCAATCGCGCGTAGCTGGAATAGCTTTTTAGTCTTCCAGCGAATACGTAGAGGAAAAAAACAAAATCACTGAAAGCCAATCGGAACTCATACCTATATAATATTTTTTTTTGGCAACATTGCACAAAAATAATTTATTTTTAAAAGCGAGTCAAAACAATATAATGATTGAAGTCTCCTTTTAAGCGTGCAATCCTGTACTAGGAGATTAGAATACCTATAGAAACATAAAATTTAAAAACCGGATTTACGTACCTTCTTGCGACGAGAAGCTCTTATCATCGCCATCGTTTCTCCTTACAAATACTTTGACTTACCTGATATGAACTAATACTCATACAGCCCTAGAAAGGCTAAGTTTAATAACAATAAACAATAGACTGCATCTGTGTAAGTATGGTACAACCGGTTAATAATGCCGTGTGGATATTTGCCCTTTAAGGGTAATAACAACGTGTGGCACTCGGGAACTGCCGCGGTAAAGCTATTGCATAGCATTTTTTATCAACTTATGCAATTATAATTAGACAATGATAATTTAATATTAAAACAATAATAAAACAAGACCACGCTATATTAAACATTAATGAAAGCAGATTCTTAACTGTCCCCATCACACTCATAACCTAGATCGCGCGAGAGAGAGATGGGCAGACTTTTCATGATGCGCATGCAGTGTGACGTCACACCACGCGCTTATTCACAAACACTACACAAGCGCAACGTGTGAATGTATGTGTTAAACGCGAACTACATGGTAGGCGGAGTGAGGGGTGTAAGGTTTTTTTCGTTACGGAATTTCCTGATTCGGTCGCCGCGCTCAAGGCCCGCGATAAAAGCTATGCAATAGCTTAAAAATTGTAATACTAGCCAAGATCAATCAAGACTTGTTTAGTTATTTCATCATCAGCTTATCTCTAATAGTCGTCGTGGCCTAAAGGATAAGACGTCCGGTGCATTCGTGTTGAAGCGATGCACCGGTGTTCGAATCCCGCAGGCGGGTACCAATTTTTCTAATGAAATATGTACTCAATGTTCACGATTGACTTCCACGGTGAAGGAATAACATCGTGTAATAAAAATCAAACCCGCAAAATTATAATTTGCGTAATTACTGGTGGTAGGACCTCTTGTGAGTCCGCGCGGATAGGTACCACCGCCCTGCTTATTTCTGCCGTGAAGCAGTAATGCGTTTCGGTTTGAAGGGTGGGGTAGCCGTTGTAACTATACTGAGANAAGGAATAACATCGTGTAATAAAAATCAAACCCGCAAAATTATAATTTGCGTAATTACTGGTGGTAGGACCTCTTGTGAGTCCGCGCGGATAGGTACCACCGCCCTGCTTATTTCTGCCGTGAAGCAGTAATGCGTTTCGGTTTGAAGGGTGGGGTAGCCGTTGTAACTATACTGAGACTTTAGAACTTGTATCTCAAGGTGGGCGGCGCGTCTACGTTGTAGATGTCTATGGGCTCCAGTAACCACTTAACATCAGGTGGGCTGTGAGCTCGTCCACCCATCTAAGCAATAAAAAAAAAATAAAAAAATCTCTTATGATGATAAAATATGATAGTCTCATGATATGGAAAGCGGCCAGAAATTACCTTAAATACACGCTCTATTCGGTTAAGTAGTTGAAAATTACGTGTACGAGTATATACTATTAATGAAAATTCCGTTATTCCATATCCAAATCCAAATAGTATGTATTATAAGTGATTTAAAAACAGTATATTTTCACGAATAAAATATACAAGGTCAATATTACTGCTTAGAAATATCTAATTGATTCGTTATTTAACCACAAGAAACATTGCTTCAACTTGAAATCAGGCATCGGTCACAATTTTTTATTAGAAATTTTGCTTTGCTTTTCCTTCATTACATTTGTGCTTTTTAATGTTTCGTTAAATTTACATGGTTATTTTAAATTGGCGTACTCTGATCTAATTATACTTTGTGTCAATATAGTTCAATGCTATTCATATTTTAACTCTCACAATAAATAAATAATACATCGAATCGGTTCCACGTAATCAGATATCGTTCTCATTCTCAATAAATTTATTTGATTAAATGATGTAATAATATGTTTAAGTAATTAAATTTATTTAAAACTCACCTTAGTTTTGTGGACATGCTGATGGTGATACTCGGAGTCTATTTCAGGCTCGCTGAAGTAGCTCTGGTCCTAAAAAAAAGAAGCACATTAAAGAATTTTTTCCTTCCTCGTTACTGGTGGTAGGACCTCTTGTGATTCCGCACGGGTAGGTAGGAACCACCGCCCCACCTACTTCTGCCGTGAAGCAGTAATGCGTTTCGGTTTGAAGGGTGGGGCAGTCGTTGTAACTATACTCGAGACTTTAGAACTTATATCTCAAGGTGTGCGGCGCAGTTACGTTGTAGATGTGCTACAGTAATCACTTAACACCAGATGGGCGTGAGCTCGTCCACACAATTAGGCAATAAAAAAATATATAAAAAAAATACTTCCTCCTAAATACTGCTAAAATTAAAATCTATTCCTACTAATATCCAAAGTAATTTCATTGACTAGCGTTGATACAAAATACGTAAATCTACTATCAATTTTCTAATAGATTCTATTACCGATAAAAAAAACAGTGAATTTATTATTCGTTCCATTATCTTTTTAAAATCCATCTTACAAAAGTCTTGATCAAACACGGTGCTCCTGTAAACGTGCAGCGGAATATGTCGAGAAAATATTTAAATTACAAATGGATCCGCGTTCTATGAGAAAAATAAATGAATTCACGTTCGAGTGCGAGTGTGGGTACTGCTTTGGTCAGTCCGTTTTACCCATCCACTAGGTACATATCAGAACGATTTGTTTCTCTTAAATTACCAATGAAATCTAATGGATTTTACCGATCGATGCCTTGAGCATTCGAATATCAAGACAGACTATTCATTCGAAACCAATGTTAATTGCGTTTATTTGTGCTATTATTACACGAGGTATTGGTATTATTGGTAGGCAGCGGCTTGGCTCTGCCCCTGGCATTGCTGAAGTCCGTGGGCGACGGTAACCACTCACCATCAGGTGGGCCGTATGCTCGTCTGCCTACAAGGGCACTAAAAAAAAAACGAGGATATGAATTTTTGATTGCGCTACATAACTTTCTTTAAGCTTTATTTAAAAAAAATTCATTTTTTAACTATTTTTATTGGTGCATCTCTAGTTTGATATGCTTTAGTATATTTATTTAAAATCGATAAGAAAGAGGCTAGGTTCTATTTATCAAATTAATGTAGTGAAAAACACAGTTCTCTTTTCAAAAAAGATACTACAACATAATTCAGTTATCTAAAGCAAGTGCACTTTACAAAATATTGTTATGTTCCTTTTAATGAAACTTTTATGATTTTTAAAAAGAACAGAAGGTAAGCCGAATATGGAGAGCATTCAGGACAATTTGAAATTAGTAACTAGATTCTGATATAACTAAATAAATAAAAAATATTATAATACTTTTTTTAGTATGAACATGTCTCTTCAAATAGCTGTTATAAAATGCTATTGTGACTTACACTTCTAGGATGAGACTGTGATTGCAAAACTACAAAATGGCAAGTTTGCAAGTTGCAACTTTGTTGACCTTTATTTATCAGTAACGGTCAAGTAAAGTAATGTAATTTATTTTAAAAAACAAATGTACATTCTTAATTTTAATTTTAGTGACTTTGGTGTTCTGCCACGCTGTTGAAAACAGAAGAGTATTTGTGGGACAGAATGAAAAGCAGGTTCAATCTAAAACTATAAAGACTTCTGCTTTGTAACTTTAACTTTGTAGTATCTCATTAAAAACTCATTATTTTTTAAATTAACAATCGCTCTTATAGCGCTTTACTTGCTTGTGAGAGCTAAAAGTTCAGGAAGAGTTACCAAGTGAGAAGTAAAGTCATTTTCGTGACAAAATGGATTTGATTATTTTAAAACAGTATGAGTAAAAAAAAAGGAAAAATCTAAATAAATACTTGTTTTTTTTTCTTTACTAGATTCCTTTTCAAAGTTTTTATAGTATATTTGGGAGGTAATATGAATCGACAAAAGGATACAAAGGGAATTAATTAAATAATAGAAATAGTTGTGTACAGGCTCTTGAGTGGTAGCTGCTCACCAGCAAATGTAATGTGGGAGGCCCGTCGGCCAGGTGGAGCTATGACTTACTAGATATGTGGAGAACCAAATTCCTGGGTTTAATTATGTAAATTAGGAAAGCCCTACTATGTCCAGTATTGGACACTAGTGAGCTAATAACGATAGCGATGATGATACTAATTGAAGTTCTCACCTGATCCCAGCTGCTAGGGCCTGAGCAATTGGCTGCAGGCGGTGGCATAGCTAATGATCCCACGCCGACGACACCGGGGAATGCTCCTCCTCCTATGTCGGTTGCTTCAAAAAGTCGCAGCACAGAACGGTCCCGGATGTCATGAAGATGAGCCCTGAACATATTGTAAAATCAGATGTATAATGAGGAAGAGCTGCGTCAATCTATCTATATATATATATATATATATATATATATATAATATACATATATATATAGATAGAAATGAATCGCTGTTCGTTAGTCTCGCTAAAACTCGAGAACGGACCGATTTGGCTAATTTTGGTCTTGAATTAATTGTGGAAGTCTAGAGAAGGTTTAAAAGTTAAATAATTAACATGAATAAATAAATAAAAATAAATAAATGCTCGGTCTTAAATAAAAATAACAATTTTGTTTGTCTTTTGATGTGTCCCCCGTCGGACGGATTCCTTTTGTTTGTTTTAACTTTATTTTATACAAAAGCTTAGATATTTTATTTATCGATTGAGGCACTGCGAAGTATGCCAGGTTAACTAGTTTAAGATAAAATATCAAATCGAAGTAATCGTAGTAGCTATATTAGGAGTAGTAGTAATTAGTACTACTAGAAGTAGTAGTAATAGTTCTTCTCAGTTTTATATTCAGACTGTTTATAATTTACTTGTTGATTGTTGCTTTTACATATGAGACAACAGAATTCAGCTACAAATAGATTATTTGAAGATTTTTTCTCTAACGAAATCCCAATACTACGTAGTTGAAATAAACGTTGAGTTTAAAAAATCCAACTCTTACAATCCAATAGAATTAATTAAAAAAAAAAAGTTTTGTTAAACAGATCCCTTGCTGTTTTTTTTTTTTTTTAATTCAAATNTTTTTTTTTTTTTTCTAATTCAAATACCTATTCTAATTTCTGATGGATCATTAAATAACAAACTGTGTAAAGTTTTCAAAGAAACCAACAATTTTATTCAAAGCTTTATTTACATTAGAGCTTTGTCTTAAAAGACTTCCAAAGGTTCAAGGAATAGAGAATGAAGTCTTTGAGTATTACGAATATAACAATTAAAATGTATCTTAACGTTACTTTTCATTTTAAATAAGACGAACTGTAATATTATTTAGAATTAAAAACTTAGAGAATTTTTTAATTTACAAATTTCTTTCACTCAAGCATATTAAGTCTCAAGGTTCCTTTTGATGTAACAGTAATAGGATTAGTGGGCGTTAGAATCTCAGCGGCTACCCCGCAAACGTTGATTGTGCGTTTTGTTTAATTGCGTTGAAACGTGAACGCATTCTCGGTACAGATAAATTACTTAGAAGATAATGTATGCACATTTGCGGTGGACGTGTAGGTGGTATATTGAAGAATTTCTGGATTGGAATTTCTTGAGGAATAAGGTTGAATATAGAGTGATGTGAAATTTATTAGGTTTAAAAGTGCTGCTACGCTCTTTCGTCTATGGCAAATGCATAATAAAATTTGTCATATCATCTATGTAATTGATGAAATCATACATAAGGGAATCATTTTTACGAGTTAAAGTTTTTTTATCAGGGTTAGTGTACACGGAAAATTCATTGAGTCTAACACGAATATTTGTGCGAATTCAAATAAAACACAAAGTTTCTAATTCGAAACATTTGGTTTTTTATTACAAGCATAATTTAGAATAGGTAAGACGCGCAAAATCCTGTCATGAAGCAGTTATGCGTTGCGGAAGGTAGCACAGATTTTGAGAAAATGCAGTCGTTTTTTTTTTTTTTTGTGATTATTTTTTTTGCTGTAACAAAAAGCTCACGGACTATCTGGTATTGACTGGCTACCGGAGCTTATTAGATCTAACAAATGTGAATGACGTCACCCATCATAAGACCTAGGTTTTAGGCTCAACTGAAATGTATGATCGGGCTCATGGCAGAAATGGGATAATTATTGTGTCTGACCGTGCCGTACGGATCCAGAACACGTTGCCATGAGTAAATATGTCCCATGGTGAGTAGCGATAGTCATAATACGAGTTCGTTGGATTCGCAGAAAATCCAAAGTCCGTAACCTTTGTCTATCCTACTGTTTACCGTGAAGATAAAAAACGCAATAACTATTATCTAATAAACGTTTTGTTCGAGAAAAATCACTTCTCAATCTCAATTCAAAGGAGCATTAAAATGGACATAATAAGAAATAAAATTACGAGGGAATTCTCAATACTTATTAACTGAATAAAAAAGTTGTTTGTTTGTTAATAATACTATAGGTATATATAATATACGTCTCTGAAAAAATATAAGGTTCAAATTAATTGTGACATATCAAAGTTTTTGTATAAAACGACAAAGCTATGAAGTAAAAACATGTACGAGTATAAAATACTTTAAATAAAAAATTATAAAAAAATTTAATAAAATACTTGTGTTACTTTGTTTCATCCCTAAGTTGAACCTTGATCTGAGTTATGCATCATCAATATTTTAAGGAATTTATACACAGATGCTTTTTTAAAATCTAATCGATAAATTAACATACAAGTACTAAGATTCGAGGAGTCGCAGATAGAGCTGATCGAAAGCTTTAGGAAAATACTCGGAGAAACGTGAATTATAATACAATAAATGCTCATGAAGTAATTAATATGTATTTAAGAAGGTACTTAATATTTGAGATTGCTAATTACAAAAATAATTAAATATCCCATAAATATTTTAAGTTAATTTTAGACTACCATAACCGCAGTGAAATCGAAACATCCATAATCCTTTTTTGAATCACTTTATTACGTAATTTCTATTATCCCCAAACCGACCTTTGACCCTTTTCTTTGTTATTTTTAATTGGAATATTTCATAAAAGGGAGAACCGAAACGAGTATGTACAAATAACTAATGAAAGATGAAGAGGTGTACAGCAAAATAGACCGTTTAAAGACACAAGGCAGTTGAAAATTAGATATAAATGCAATACAACAGGTAATTTTTCTAATGAAATACGTACTTAACAAATGTTCACGATTGACTTCCACGGTGAAGGAATAACATCGTGTAATAAAAATCAAACCCGCAAAATTATAATTTGCGTAATTACTGGCGATAGGACCTCTTGAGAGTCCGCGCGGGTAGGTACCACCACCCCGCCTATTTCTGCCGTGAAGCAGTAATGCGTTTCGGTTTGAAAGGTGGGGCAGCCGTTGTGACTATACTGAGATCTTAGAACTATATCTCAAGGTGTGTGGCGCATTTACGTTGTAGATGTCTATGGGCTCCAGTAACCACTTAACACCAGGTGGGCTGTGAGCTCGTCCACATATCTAGGCAATAAAAAAAATTTTTAGGAAATAAGAAATTAAACAACTAAAATCGAAATATAATATAAAAAGTGTTATTTATAAATTCACAAATATCTACTTCTCACCTACTTATCTCCTTAATATTTCTATCATAAGTATCTGAGCAAACATATAACATAAAGTCTTTAATTTTATGCCTTAATCTTCCGAATATGTATATTCATTCTTTCATTGAGATGCTACCAAGTTTTCGTACGAAAATAGAATGGATCCACATTCAAAAGTAACAGTGACCTCATTTCTCAACATGAAGTGCATCACCAACTTCCATTTTTAACTTGGCAAGTGTGAGCCAAGGTTCCATGTTTTCTCTTTTATTAGCTTACGCTGGCAGACGACTTGATTGCAACCATCACCTGTACACTACATAATATGAATTGACTGATAAAAGCAACCGACCGTGAGCTTTTGTGAACATTTCAGCTTACGTACTTAGAAGTTCAGAAAAGCTGCTGCGCACAGAGGAACAACTAAGATGATGAGATACTGCAGCTGACCAAGCTCCACAGATACGGAGAATGAAAAACTTTGATTTTATTCAAATTTTATAACATATATGTTAAATTTTAAAATTTATTAAAATTTTAGACAGTGACCAAACATTTCAATAATTGAATTTCGGTAATGAAATATTGTACGAGTGTTCACTGTGTCTTCGTTTATTTATAAGAATAATCTCAATAAAAATATATGTTATTTATTTTCTGAAGTCGTCGTGGCCTAAGGGATAAGACGTCCGGTGCATTTGTGTTGAGCGATGCACCGGTGTTCGAATCCCGCAGGCGGGTACCAATTTTTCTAATGAAATACGTACTCAACAAATGTTCACGATTGACTTCCACGGTGAAGGAATAACACCGTGTAATAAAAATGAAACCCGCAAAATTATAATTTGCGTAACTGGTGGTAGGACCTCTTGTGAGTCCGCGCGGGTAGGTACCACCGCCCTGCCTATTTCTGCCGTGAAGCAGTTAATGCGTTTCAGTTTGAAGGGTGGGGCAACCGTTGATACTATACTTGAGACCTTAGAATGTTCTGAGGAATTGTTCGAGATGATACCGGCATCTCGTTTTTACCATCGCACCGCCCGCCACCGGAGTAGAGTTCATCCATACTACCTGGAGCCACTGCGGTCATCCACAGTGCGTTTCCAGAGGTCTTTTTTGCCACGTACCATCCGGCTATGGAATGAGCTCCCCTCCACGGTGTTTCCCGAGCGCTATGACATGTCCTTCTTCAAACGAGGCTTGTGGAGAGTATTAAGCGGTAGGCAGCGGCTTGGCTCTGCCCCTGGCATTGCTGAAGTCCATGGGCGACGGTAACCACTCACCATCAGGTGGGCCGNAAAAAAAAAAGAACTTATATCTCAAGGTGGGTGGCGCATTTACGTCGTAGATGTCTTAACTTAACACCAGGTGGGCTGTGAGTTCGTCCACCCATCTAGCAATAAAATAGAATAAATCTAATGTCTGTTTCTGATATTTTCATGTGAAAAGCTACTCTTCTGATTTACCAATTTTTTTATCGAAGTCACCAAACTAAACGTCTTTTTCTTAAAGGTATCATCCACGAAAATAACCCAATTGTGTGATTTAGACTTATCAGGTTAACGCATAAGTTTAAATTGCACTTCTCGTAACCCAGTCAAAGTTTCAAGTGCTCAGAGCGTATATCATTATTTTTCACTTCAGGTGCAGTACGGAACATAAATGAGGTTGAAGTCGGCATATTGCGATGGCTATTTACAAAACATTGGAAAATGAACTCACTCTTCAAATTTTCCTTT